GCACGTGTTCGGCTGTTATGGCTGCTGAAAGGGGAGCTGGTCCCTTCACTAGCACCTAGAAGAGTCCTTACCAACCTTCAGGCACAAGGGTCCCCAGTGTTGTTGTTGGCTGAACACCTTTGGTGATGGGCGGGGAAGCTGGTACTGGCAACCCATGGTGGCGGTGAACAAAACCTAGACTTTCCTATTACAGTGGGGTGAGGAGAGGGAAGCAAGGATCACCCAGGAAGTTGCATCAAGAGGGTGAACCAGCTGGTCCTGATCTGACCTCAGTGGCAGGGGAGAGGATGGCTAAATTCTCCTGGCTGGGTAGCATATGGCCCCAGGCTGAGCTACCCTGCTGTCTTTCCCTCACTAAGTAGCTTCATCCCTATCCCTAAACAGCTGCCAAATGAAGCCCATTTCCCCACTGACCTCAATTATAAAGCTAGCCATGTTTCCCCTGGGGGGGGAGATGGCTCTGCAGGAGCTAACATCACTGTCCTCATTTTGGGTGAGCAGCAGTTGTGGCTTCCTGACACTCAAAACCCTGTCTCATCTGCCTAAGGCTATGGCCCCTGCTTCTCCTGCCTTTGCCCCTGAAGGTGGACTCTCCTGAGCACACAGTGCGTGGGCTGGGAGGAGGGAAATAGGGAGGGCATCTCAGCTATTTTTGTCTCCAAAGCCAGTAAGTGTCTCAGGGAAGGATCCTTGCGGGAGCATTGGGCTCAGAAAGGCCATCTCTTGAATTTAGTGCATGTGCGCGCCTGTTACCTTCACACGCATGTAAGAAATGCCCCCCATAAGAGGGGGCCACATGATGAACCCTACCCCTGGCCCTCTGCCCAGTGTCTCCACTCAGAAACCGAGGTCTTAGGCACAATATAAGACCCACAGAGCCTGTGCCTAGAGCCCTAAGCATTTCTGCAGCATCTGGCCATTCAGGCATCTGGAAGATGCCAAACCAGACCTGTGCCAAGTTCAAGGTCACCATTCTGGCTAGAGCTGAGCTCATTTGTGGAGTCTGTGGTTCAGACTAGGAGAGGGTGGGTAGGGATGCTCCCCAGGGTGGAGGAGGTCTGGGTCCTACCCTTGAGGATTAGGGGCAGCCCCCAGCTGTCTCCTGTCAGGGCTTCCGGCCTCACTGCTGAGCCTCTGAGAACGGGAAATTCAACCCATATGGCTGATTCACTTACGCTTAGCTCATCAAAAGGCTGTTTTGTAAAGGCCTGTTTGATGCCGAAGATGCCTCAGGGTCTCTTTCACCTCTTTCAAAGCCACTTTTCATCCCCTGGGGCCTGGGGGATTTGCCTTCAGACCACACCAGACTGACTAGGAGAGGTAGAGGGTTTACCAGAGCCACAGAAATGCCCACCGGGAGCCCTTCTTGGGGACCCTTCCTTTCTGTAGTGGGAGGCTCTGACCTATGGCTTTTGGAAGCCCCATGTCTGATTCTCTCACCTGCTCACAATGCTGGAGAGGGTCACTCTCCATCCTGCCCACTCGCCATGCTCACCGCACAGGTGGCTGGGAGGTGGGTCACTCAGCTGTACCCTCAGAGCAGGAGGTGGCTGTGTGCAAGCTCGAGTCTATCTGTGCTGCTAACAGCATTCTCAGCTCAGCTTCTAGGCAGCGTGATTAGGGAGGCAGGAGCCATCGGCTCAGTTTTGTCACACTACCACAACTCAAGGTAGCCCAGATCTTAGTCTCCTTGGGTAAAGCCAGACCAGCTGTTAAAGCGCATGACTGAAATTGAAAAAGTTAGAAGGTGACAGGAACAGTTCACAGCCAAGAGTTCTGTGAATGGCTTCTTGTTCAGGAAGGGGAAGCTCAAACTGAAATCAACAGAGCTACGTGCCCTTCAGTACTGGGCCAGCATCTGAGGGTCCCACCCCCATGCTGGGATTCGGGAACTGCACAGCCTCTGTACCCATCCTGCTTCTGGAGAGGAGACTCGTAGCCCAGAGGGAGGCAGTGATGTGAACTCACCACCATGCCATTGATGGACACCCAGCAGTCGTGGGGGAAGTCCTGCAGCATGGGCACCAGGAACTGCAGGCAGCCGTCCCAGTGACACAGCAAGAGCATCATGCCGATGAGGTTCACGATGCGCACCACAGCACTGGCCAGGTCATAGGTCATGTGGAAAATCTGCGGAGGCAAGCCGTTGCCAAGTCAGTGATTAGAGTGTGTATGTGCAGGCTGGGGCTGGGGAGCAAAGATGATAAGCAGGACCCAGAAAGAGGAAGGCTGGAGAGTGCCATGGTGACACTCCTGGCATCCGTGCAGATACAGACATCCCCCCCCCCCCCCCCCCCCGCCCCCACCGGGAGGTGCAGCTCTCCAGGATAAGAAGTGGGCAGAGAGGCCACCTCATCAGCTTGCTGAGGGCATATGGACAGCAGGGACAAGCCACCTAGCCTGAAGCATGCTTTGAACTGTGTTCTGGAGTCAGGCCCTAGACATTAGGCCTTCCTAAATCTGTTACTGGGATAGCAGGGTCCAGCCTTGGGAGTGGGAGAACAGCATGGGGCCACAGACTCCGTGTTCAGATAGGTATTGATTCCAGGCCTATCTCTGCGCCAGTTCCTAGCTGTGCAACCTTAAGGAAGTCCCAGGGCCTCCCTGATCATGTTTCCTCACATGGAAAATGGTGAGAAAAGTTCATGACTGAGTGGCTGTCAAAAGCATTAAATTATACATATGAAATACTTAGTACTGAGTATAGAAGTATTCAATAAATTACAAGCCATTGTGAGACAATGTAATTAATAATTAATCTTCATGATTAGTCCATACACATTAGTAGTACTGCTGTTTCTTACACTTGAATCAGTTACAACAGTGCCCCCACCCAGCCCGCTGCAGTCTGTCCACCTCCCTGTGTGGCTCTGTGTGCCAAGCTGCCGTGTGGCAAGGTCTGACCATAATGTATGCATCTCCATGATGGGTCCCACCTCTTTCTCCAAAGCTGCCATACGCCAGTGTACAGCAGAGACTTGAGCCTATCAGGGATTCCCAAGGTTACAGGACTGTGAGAGGATGGAGAGAGTAACGGTTAGGGAAAGTCTAGGAAGTCTGCAGAAGGTCTGGCCTTGCCTGTAGTTCAGGAGAGGTCGGGGGCTCTCCAGCCATCCATCCCTAGTTCTGATCCCTCCATACTATGCTCAGAAAAATACATTCCTCCTGGATGAGTAGCTTTGGGTCCAAATTACAAACCTGCAGATGCCACTTAAGACTGGAGCCCATTTCAGAAGGGGAGGCTTAGGTCTGGAGACAGTAAATATTTCAATTCTCAGTCTAAGGGCCCTAAGGCACTAGCAGCAGAGACAGTGGCCATGGCAGGGAGGACAGCAGCCTCAAGGGTGTGTGCTGAGCTGGGACCTGCTCCCAATGCAGCACAAGGGAATTCCATAAGCCACAGCTCTTCATAGCTGAATTTGGGGAGACAAACTGTTAAAGATTGCATGTTCTCTGACCCGACTTAGGCAAAGCCTAGCATCACAATGCCCCGAGGAGCCAGGCTTAAAGCTAGAATGGTCAGAAAATCACACCAGGGGCTGGAGAGATGGCTTAGTTGGTAAAGTACTTGATATGCAAGCATAAGGACCTAAATTTGATCCCCAGAATTCACATTAAAAAGTCAGGTGTGGCTTCATGCCCTTGTGATCCTGGCATTGGGAAGGGGCTCACTAGCCAGCCAACCTAGTCTACATGGTGAGGTGGTTCAGGCCAGTGAGAGAGAGACCTTGTCTCAATAACAAGGAAAATGACATCAAGGGATCACACACACACACACACACACACACACACACACACAGAGAGAGAGAGAGACAGAGAGAGAGAGAGAGAGAGAGAGAGAGAGAGAGAGAGAGAGCGCATCAGAGCATGGCCCAACTAGCACCTCTTCTTAGTCTGTCTCATGGCAAGTAACTTCAGCCCATGGCCAAGCTATATTCATGGCATTCTTACAAACAGCCACATGTGAGGAGGTCATCAAGGGCATGTACAGGCACAGGGTAGTACCCTTGGAGCACAGATCTCACAGGCTCTAGAAGTTAGCTTTGAGCTGTTTAGAGAATGCTAGCTTCCAATACCTCCCTCCCCCCAGTGCACTGTGTGTCTAGAAAGAATTTCAATGAGCCTCTCAGGTTCTTTTCTGCAGGCAAAAGTCCCTCTGGAGTGAGGGGCTTGTAGGACAGGCTGTACCCTCAGAAGAATCTTTGACTGTCTACTATTCTGTGTCTCCAGGAGGCCACCTCATGTCAGTCAATACCCAAGAAAAGCCCCTTCCATGTGGGGGACAGGGAGGAAGCTTGTCCCCGCCTACACACACAGAGTCAGTCACACACAGGAAAGGAGATTTGGGGATAACAGAGGAGGCTAAGTGGAGACCAAAGGGGGGCTTGACAGAGAAGCCAGCGGCTGTGGCCATCAGCACAGCTCCTGCCTCCTCCCACCCCTGGCTTATCAAGGCAGCACAATTCTGTGGAGGATTTCTTAGCTATGGGTTGTATTAGAGGGGGACCTCTCTAGCTATGCCCTGAGTGGAGTCTCACTGTCTAAGGGACTCTCCGTGGTGTGGCTGTGCTGTCCATCACAAGAGACCTCCAAAGGAGATCTGCAATGCACCCCCTCACCTGAGAAAGCACAGCCTCCTTTTCTTCTCCCTTCAACCCCAGAGATGCCCTAATTTTTTTGTTTGTTATGCCCAGGACACATGAAGAGACAAGAGTGACAGATTGGCTTGTGTACCCAGCTGTTTCCCTGTCTATCTGCACACGGACACATCTAAAGCCTCTTCTTCCCTGACTGCACAGGCAAGCAACAGAAACAGGACCTTCAGGCTCCTCTTCCTATGGAAACATCCCCCAAGTGTCTACTGCACTGCCACCAAGCAGGGGCAATCTACACACTGCCTGAGACTCCATTCCTCCAGCCCATTCTCCATCAAGCAGCTAGATTTAACTCTTCAAGATGAGCAATTTTTTTTCATTTTTTTTTCTGGTTTTGATTTTGATTTTGGTTTGAGTGACAGAACATGAATTTGGATAAGTAGAGAGGGGTGGGGAGGAGCTGGAGAGGGGAAAGAATATGATCAAAATATATGAGAAATAAAATCTAAAAAATAAGCAGGATGTATCTATAGCCTTTGACTTGAAGCTGTCCAGTGACACCCTCAGTATTTTAGATAGCACACTGCCTGCTGGCCACAGCTTCATCACCCTGGGCCACAACTTCTTCCCCACTCCATCTCCCCTGCTCTGCCCGTGGCCCTTTACCTCTGGCTACAGTGGCCTCCCCCAGTTCCTTGAATGCCCCAGCCAGTTCTCGCTAGGCCACAGGGATTCAGTGTTGCATCTGCCATCCCATCTGCCCATGTCCTTCTGGCTCCTCACCCTCCCGTCTTACTGTGTCCACAGAAAGGCCTTCCATACTGTTGTGTGAAGTAGCCAGTGGCCCTCCCTTCCTGCCTCACCAGGACTTTTCCCTGACTGCCTTCCTCTATGGCATTCTCTCTATCTAAAAGGAGACTTACTAACTGGCATACAGCATGAGCCACGTTCCGCTGCCTTCCAGTTTTTGGTTCTGTATTCCTCCATGAGATGCACAGTGGGCATGCAAAACATCTGTTGGTTGCCTGCCTGCATGCATGCCTGTGTGCTTAAATGAATGAACAGATACCATATGGAAGCCAAAGGAAGCCTCGGGCCCTGGCTACCAAGTATCTCAGACTGTGCATTCCACAACCCCTGCCCTTTTCTACGAATTACTCGGGGTCACAAAGGCAGAAGCACCAGGGCTGACAGGTTTCACACAGGCTCTTCTCCGCATCCCTGATGCTTTGTTATTTTCGGGGGTGCATGTGCAAATGTCAGAGGACAACCTTCACCTTGTTGAGACAGGATTTCTCGTTTACTGCTGTTCACACCAGGTTAGCTGGCCTGCATGATTCCTCGGACTCTTGGTCCCTCGGCTGGCTGTAGGAATACTGGGATGACAAACATGAGCTACAGCAGCTGGCTTTGTGTGGGTTCTGGGACCTGAACTCAGGGGCCCAGGCTTGCATTCAAGTGCTTTACCCCCTGAGCCAGATCCCATCCCCAATCCCCTGTACTTTCTTCACAACCAACTTTCTTCTAAGATCAAGCTTGTCTAGTTTTGCCTTTATCACAGTCTCAGAAGTCACTATGGCAAGGAGCACATGATGGCGTCTCGGGAACTGAGAAGAGCTTAATGACAGAGGTGAAGGTGACAGTGACGGAGCTGGAGGTAAGCAGACCCCAACCAGAGGAGACTGTCAAGAGGGGCATGAAGCCTAGCAGATGCAGTTCACGAGCAGCCAGCTTTGGCCTCTGTGGAGAGAATGGTGCTTTGTCTCCCAGGTGCACAGAGAGCCTGGGGTAGCAGAGAACGGTACTGAGTAAAGAAGGGTGTGGACACGGAGGTGACCAGTGGAGAAGGGGAGAAGTATGTGACTGCAGAGCCAGCTGGACCAGCATGGCTATGTCTGAGCTACCCGGTGAGAGCTGAACAGGGTAGAGGACACTCACCACACCTTTAACACTAGACAGCACCCAGGATATGGTTGTCAAGGAGAGGCTGGCCATCGCTGAAAGAAGTTGTTCTATGCTCATGTCCCCACTGTGGGTTGGGGCCACATGCCACCTGCCAGTCAGCTGTACCGGGCAAATATTTGCCTTGCTCTTTATATTTCATTAAAGCATCCTATTACAATATTGGCCCTGACTAGGGGGTTGAACACTTTTTCTTCTCAGCTGGTGGAGACTCACCAGGCAGGTGGCATGTTAGCTCACCCTCTGCCTACCTGGCACTTTGGAAACCTGTGCCCACTCCTTTAATTTTTCAGCTTTACTGGTAAAGCAACATGTCTTTCATGTCCTAGCATGCCCTCTCAGGACTTTAGTTTCCTTGCCTATGGAAAGGGCCACTAACTGCCAACTCCTACATGCAAAGCTATCTTGGGAAGTAGGTGAAATAATGGCCAAAGGTGGCACACAGTAGGTACTCTACATACGTACATATGTTGGTTCCTCTCCTTTCATCTCTTGCCCAGCCCTTTAACAGAGCTACTTTCTTGATGTAGCCCAGACCTCAGACAATGGGGTCAGACTGCCATGGACTTTCCACTAAGGCCTCTTCTTAGGACCTGGTTGAGTTTTTCTAGACTCATTTTCTCCTTATAGAAATGAACAAGTTTCTCCTGGTATCTCAGGAACAACAATCCACATGAAGGATAGGCCAAGATCCAAGAGCGGCCAGTGCATGGGTGTCCTGGGCATGGCCTAGGGCTCTGAACTAAGGGTCACACTGATGGCATTAGCAGGTAGGGCCAGCCCCAGTTATCCAGGGCCATTTCTCACAGATACCAACCATTAGAGTCTGAGAGAGATGGAGAACCTGAGTCTCACAGGAAGAGAGACTCATCAGAGGCTCCTGGGCCTGGCCTCCTACTCCTAGCCCTCATCCTGCCATTCAAGGTTTCTGAGCGAGAAGGCTTCTGGGATGGGTCTCTTGGCGTGCTGAGGCCTGCAGTGGAACATCCGAAGGGGGGCAACCAAGGTTTCTAACAATAGCCTTCATGCCTGCGACAAGCTCACACCTCAGAGGGAGGGGAGAGGCTGGCTGGAAGAGGCTCTGAGGGAGGCTGCTGACCTAGATCACTAGGGACAGAGGAAGCTTGTGCCCAACCTGATCCACTCTGCCCACCCTGCAACCGAGTCTAGGGAAAACTCCAGGGCAACTGGGCTGGGCCAGCTGGGGGACCCAGGGGAGTCTGGGAGATCAGAGGACTCCAGGCTCGCCAGGGAGCCTGGGGCATGCTGACTCCTCAGCCCCACCCTGGAGCTTCCTCCTTTGGGGCCTGTCAGTCACAATCAGGCCTTCAGGGTCAGCTAACACCATTTTCACCAAGAAAGACAGCCATGGCCTGAGCACCTCAGCCTCAGAAAACACCAATGCATTCCTGGTTACTGGGGAGACTGGGTGCCCCTCCCCAAAGAAAGAAATTACGTAGGGATTTGAAGAGGAGCTAGGGCAGGATTTTTTTTCTACATTCCACCTGCTCTACCCCCTAGCTTTTATGTAGCTGAGGGGTTGGAAGGATCTTCTTGATACCACTGCCAGGCAAGCTGAGGCTGGGAGAAGCCTGGAGATAGAGTGAGCTACATAGGACCCAGAGATGGTTTCTTGGGCCAGCTGGGAAACCCCAGTCTAATCCCAAGGGAGCCCTTGGCTGGGCTGAGTGCAGGCAGAAACCAGCTCAAAGCAATTTCCTCCCAAGCTGGTAGGGGAGATAAGGGCATGAGTGCAGGGGTGGGGAGCCGTCCATCTGGCCACCTGGGATCTCCCTTTCTGCCCACATCACGTGGGAGCAGGGTTCAGTTCAGGGCCTCAGATTTCCTGGGACCTCTGCATCCCCCAGGGAAGGTCTAGAACTATAGCCTGCCTAATGGGGTCTGGATAACCCAGAAGGTAGCTAGGCCAGAGGGGCAATGAGGACAACAGCCCTGGGCCTGAGCTCCTAAAGCCTAGGGTGCAGGGACAGGAAAGGAGTGGCTTTTCTTTGCCCTGGGTGCAGCTAGCCCAGCCATGGGCAACTCTGTCAACTCCCACTAAACAAGTAGTAAGGTTGGCCCCAGGGGTTATGGGACCTGGTGACCCAAACCAATGTCAAAGAAAGGAAAGTGCTGCTACTCCTGAGTCTAGCTGTAGCCTAGAAGATGCAGAAGGGTTGGGGTTTGCTCTGGATCTGAAAGGCTAACTGGGATCCTGTTTATCCACAAGGAGAGAAGCCTGCCAGGTCATGCTGGGAAATATACCACCCTCCTTCCTTTCACAGACACTCAGCTCACCAGCCCCAAAGGCATTGTCCCTTGTCTCCTCAGACCTACATCTCTGTGCAACTGGATGTCCCTTGGGAACTTAAAATACAGCCCATCACAGACCATAGCCTCTACCCCCCATGATCCACTCCTTTTTTGGTATTCTGAGACCTCAGTGCCCTGCCCAGTACAAAGCACACACGTAGACAGATGCTTGGCAAGACCCTTTCAGACTAAATGGAACCCAGGCACCCACCATGGCTGCTCCCTACTAACAGAAGGGATGTTATTAGATCATCGGCCATGGACCAGAAGACAAAGAGCCTTGGCCATAAAGTCTACCCGTGGGGCAGGTGGACCTTCCAATCCTTAGTTTCTTCACCTGGAAAATGAGGGTAACACACCCTGCCATTTACCTTGCTAGCTATAACTAAGACTGGCGAAGAGGGACATTTAGTAAGTAGTTCTTTATGACAGACTTTGTGAAAAAGAAAAACGTAAAAAAAAAAAAGATATTACTTAGACTCATAGGAAGAAAGAATGAGGCTGAGAGATGCAAAGTGATGCCAAGGTCACAGAGCCAAGCAATGTGTAGTTTGGATTTGAACTCAGGTCTCTAAAGTGTCATTCTAGCTCCAAAATCCTCAACTATTGTTGACACCAGGCAGGGACAATCACACTGCTGGGAGCCAAGAGATCTAACTGGATTCAGCCTCCTTTCTGCCAGTGGGCCACTTTGTGACCTTGGTGCAGTCATTGTCTCTCTTTGTCAGCAGGAATAATGCAAATTTTCCAAGCCCAAGAGAATTTCTGCTGCGGAGTGCTTCTGCCAAGCTGGTGTAGGCACTTCTTCCAAAGCACGTGTGTTCATGACGCCTCTGACCTGAATCTGCCGTGCCCCAACCATCAGCCGTGCTGCCACAGGGCTGGAAGGCAGGGACATAGAACCTGATCATATATAGGCTTTCAGCCCAGTCAAGCAAGGGCTTTGATGGCTGGGCAGCCCTCAGGGAGAGACACCGTGGCAATGAGCTTGCTTAGCATAGCCTAATTGACACCACGCCAAGGTGAGTGTCTCATGCAGCATATCTCCCCCAAACCTGAGAAAGCTCCCTGTTTGCTATCACTAACAAAATGGGTATATTGGTTAGTGATTATCAACTTGGCACACGCTGGAGTTATCTGAGAGGAGGAATCTCAGTTGAGAAAATGTTCCCATCCATATGGCCTGTAGGGAAGCCCATGGGGGATTTTCTTGATTGAAGAGGCGATGTGGGTAGGCCCAGCCCACTGTGGGCAATGCCTGGGCAGGTGGTCCTGGGGTGTATAAGAAAGCAAGCTGAGCGAGCCCTGAAGAGCAAGCCAGTAAATAGTAGTGTTCTTCTGTGACCTCTAATTCCATTCCTAACTCCAGGTTCCTGCCTTGAGCTCCTGTCCTAACTTCCTTCATGATGGACTGTGAGCTGTAAGATGAAATAAACCGTTTCCTTCCTAAGTTACTTTTGGTCATGGTGTAACAGAGAGCAAAGTAGGATGGTAGCAAACTCAGTCCCCAACACCCGGCAAAGTCACTGGCATCTCTTCTCCCATGGCCTTAGCCCTTCTCTTTTCCTCCTATGGATCAGTGCTCCATCTGAGAGTGAGTTGAGGATCTCCACAATGGTATAGACCCAACTATTTATCCTGAGGTTTTTCTAAATTTAGTTTCTGTAACCAGAGCCCTTAGACTCTTGAGTTTTCTTACAGTTTTATATACAGGACTCCAGTGCCCCAGGGGCTTTTAGCTTCTGCAACCAGCACCTGTGCGGAAGCTGGAAACAGTTTTGGCTGTGTCATAAGACCTAGGAATGCCCTGGACCACTGACTCTTAGGCAAAGGAATGTAAACATTCCAACTCCCTTCCCTGGTTAGGACAAGTTCAGGGTGTGGTGTACACTGTGCCCTGGGCTCCCCACAGATCTTTGCTTGATGTCTCTCCTCACTTATCGTTGCACTTTTCTTGGCCTCTTGCCCATTTGTCTTACCACATTTTCCTAAAGATGCAACCCCCCACAACATCGCTTTCATGAAAATCTCCATCTTGGAGCACATTCTAAAAGAATCCCGTCTAAGATAGTTACCAACAAAATATGTACCCCCCAAATCCAGATTTCTGAATTTAATATAATAACTCCATAGCACTAGCAGCCCAGTCTCATTCATGCACAGCATGTATATGAGTATGAGTGTCTACAGGTATCTGCGTGGTGTCCTTCGTGATTGTCATGGACTTAAATGAGATGTAATCTGGAAAGTATTCATATAGAAACTAAGACAGGCTAAGAAGTCACAGAACTGCTAACGTTTGTCCTCTTGGAACAGGCATGCCATCTATAGCCACACAACCCATCTCTGGTTCTCTGAGCGTACTCACTGGCTGTGCTGTCTGTCCAGCTACTCACTGTCTGTCCAGCTACTCACCTCTTCCCACTGATGGATATATCGAATGAGGCGAGAAAGCCGCAAGAGGCGCAGGAGGCTGAGGATCTTGGTGAAGCGGACGATGCGGAGAGCCCTCGCAGTCTTGTAGACCTCTGAGTCAATGCGAGTCTCCACAATCAGGAAGATGTAGTCCACGGGGATGGAGGAGATGAAATCCACCACAAACCAGCTTTTCAAGTACTTCATCTTAATCCGTTGTGGGTCAAGGATGATTTCCGTGTTGTCCTCCACCACGATCCCCGTGCGGAAGTTGAGGACCAAGTCAATGAGGAAGAATGTGTCCGACACCACATTGAAGACGATCCAGGGTGTGGTGTTCTCATCCTTGAAGAAGGTGATGCCCACAGGAATAATGATCAGATTTCCCACCATCAGCAGCAGCATCGTCAGGTCCCAGTAAAATCTGCCCAGAGAGATAAAGGGGCCAGTCACCGGGAGAGAATGGACGAGGGATGAGCTACAGAGTGGAAAAGAGGTGTTGTGTTGAAGCACAAGGGGGAGAACCTGGGGGATCCTGAGGTGCTTGGGGAGACAGGCACAAGAGCATCAGGGCAAGGTGTGGCATGCAAACACAGGGCATGGCACAGACAGAGGCTCTTCACGGACCCCTCCCCCAGTCTCCCAGTGAGTTCCCCACCCAGCTACCCCAACCAGAGTCAAGCCGAAACACAAGCCAAACAATGACCTCTGGGGACAAATAAGAGACTGCTTTAGTGACAAAAGAAACTCACACCATCTTCCCCAGGCTCAGGTCAAGTTGAGGTTCCCTGAGGTTTAGCTGTGCCTGAGAGAGGCTGTCAGACAGCCATGCCACAGAGCACAACCAGAGACCAGGGGAAGTCCACTCACCCAGCAGGTGCCTGGGAGGCAGAAGCTATAGCTCCAGCTTGATTCTGTCACTGCTATCCTATGTGACACCAAGAAGGTCCAAGAATCCTCATTCTAGGCCTCCGTTTCCTCACTGTGCAGTCTTACAATTGTGACCTAACTTCTCTCCCACTGGCCGTCTAGCATCCCCCTTAATGAGAAAAGGCCTTACCATCTCTTTGCCCAGTTTGCACACTGATATTGGGGTGATACCCAGCTTTCTTACACTTCTGCACACTTTATACACACAGCACATCCACATTGAGTGGTGGGTCCAACTTCAGCTTCTACAGAGTGTTCTTGATCTGGGTACACTCTGACAAGTCACACACTAGTCACTCAAAGACAGCTGCATATATTTATTGGAAGCCACATCTAGGTATCTAGGTATCCCCATTCTCTCTCTCTCTCTCTCTCTCTCTCTCTCTCTCTCTCTCTCTCTCTCTCTCACAC